ACTCATCAAAACGTGGCGACAAGGTCGGATTCATTTAATTGTAAACTAACAAGTTGTTGCTGATTACTTTTTCATATAATATCGACAAATTGGTAAATTCCTTGACAGTATTTGTACTTTTATTACAAATATTATTAAATTTTTTCAAACTTTTTAAAACATTTACAATGCTAGTAGTAAGATTTTTTTTCCAATTTACTGTAGTAAACCTTAATAATAATTGTATTATTATGAATATACTGTACAACAATAAAACACACATTGCTCATTGCACGTGAAAACGAACGTTTTTCGGTAAAAACTTTGCAGACGTATTTGCACATGAAATAATGGAAATCGTCACAAAAAGGGCATAACGATTTCTACTTTGTTAAATCTATGTAAAAATTTACACATATTTTATTTAACAAACTAACAATTACTACAAGACGCTTGTGTTACTGAAAATAGAATTCAAACTGAAAAACTATTCAGAGCTTTCTTAATAATATATAAAACAAATTCTTTTGACGACCTCAGTGGTTGAGTGGCCACCGGTATTCATGATTTGATCCCCGGCCGGCTCAATGTAGAAAACTAACTTTTCTATATTGTCTCGGGTCTGGTTGTGTGTGGTATCGTCGTTGTTTTCGATTTCCATAACACAAGTGCTTTAACCACTTACTTTGAAATCAGAGCAACGTATGTGATGTTGTCTAATAATTATTTATTTAAATTATTTGTTTTTAGAACTATAAGATTATTATTATTTAGGAACTATTTTTGGGGGTGCTGATGAAATTACAGGCACTTGAGACTTGTCGACTTTATGTGTCAGTATGACGGACGCAGTGGCAATGACGCTCAGACCTTTAAAGCTGTGAGTTGCAAGTCAACAATCGTTTACAGCAGCTGTTAACCAGAAGTTATCGCGTACCCCAGGCGGACGACTTGTTCGTCCCGTCTTAACTGTGGTCCAGTCACTTGATATCACAAAAAAATATTCTTTGAATAATTGCTTTTTTTATTCAACAAAACGGCTATCGTCCTTACAACCTCTATTGATATACTATTAATATTACCTACTGAAAATAAGACTGCTTATTGTAAGCTTTCAAATAATATTATGCAACAATAGTACACATTGCTGCATAATATTATCGCCGGGAAGTAAGGGCTTGCTGGATGAGCACGAGACGAGCGCCAGCGAAGCCTTGTATTAATACGATTCAAGCAATCCCTGTTCCCTGCCAAGGTATATATAGAAATTTTCTCAAACAATGTGAGGAAATAATAAAATACTAATGAGGGGAAGATGTATAATCGAAAAAGTAAAGAAATATTAATTATCATTAAAATTTATACAATACAATTTCTAAAAGAACATGTTATTGTTTTTCTAGGCACATTAATAGTAATCTGCTGAACTTCTAATGATTCTCGCAATTATGAAATATTTTTCTTTTGCCAGTTTACATAGTTCATTATTAGGAGGTAGATTTAAAAGTTTAGAGAAAGAGACAGTAAAGGATTTTCATACTTACTTGCAGACCTTCGTTGGGAAGAAGTCGCATGGACCATAAATGACAAACTTTCCGTGTTGTTTTTTGAAAGTAATGCAATCATTTCCGAGCATATTTCAGTTTACCGAAAAAGGATTACATGAATTCACTTAGTCAAGAAGTTGCGCGTAGTTTCAGAGTATCAGCTCTAAATATAGCTTTATAAATGCACTTTATAAGTAGATTAAATGAGAATGAACTTCTGTTAAGCGTAGTTGCAGAATATCAGCTCTAAAGATAAGTTTACAAGTACAACAAATGAGAATCAATATTATACGAGAATATTGTGCAAGTATCGTGCGTGACCTGTCCAGTGCCTTTGCACTAGCGTCTGCTGTGCTACCCACACAAACCTTGTAGGTACGAATGTGGGCCACAAGTTCTACCGTTTTGTTAACTATTTCATCTACTTATATGCCAGTGGCCGCTAGTTTAATCGAGCTGGGTGTAGGTTGAGAAAGAAAAACTATAAAACTCTGTATAAGTAGAAACTATCTAAGTGTATTTTCAAAATCGGCACGTTTATACTTTCTCGATTTGTTTTGACGCCTTGACTTATATAAATAAATTAGTGAGCGTAAGGTAAATACAGTATTGATAAATCAGATAAGAGATCGCGTAATAAAAATTGTATGGTGAATATAGTTCTTATTGTAATCGCTAGTGGCGCTGTGTAATATGGTAAAGATGATTTAGATTGTAATGTAGATATGAACGTATTTTCATTACAATACCCGATAACTTTTTATTCCAAAACCAAACCGACAGTAACCTAAATTATCGTTAACCATATGGTATGGTTATGGTTGTACATATTTATAATGTACGTAATGTTTTTAAGGAATGAATTTTTGATGAATAGCTTAAGCTTTCGATAACGCAGTTGTGTGGCACGTGCTAGTTTACTTAGATATTGCTAAAAGATCCTGGCCTTTCACTTTCTTCGCGTCTTAAAAATAAGTAGGTAATTTGCAAACACGTTTCTAAATTGAACAAATAAGTGATTAGTAGTAACGGTGGGATTATTAGTTTTCGTTTAAGAACTTATTTTGAAACAAATATGTATGTTTTATGGGCTACGTAAAAAGTATTTGGAAATGTTGAAAATAAACAAGAACACAATTTTTTCTTATTTAATAAACATTGATGTATATTATTATAGCCTGGTGATCTTCTAGGCGAATATACTTACACCATCCATATCTATTTGATCACGTTTCAGCAAATGAGGACATAATTAAATATGAGCTTATTTCTAAATAAAAAATAACCACCCCATTGCAAATCAGAAAGCTTTTTAGTATTTTAAATTCAAACAGTTGTTCGTAATACAAAAACCTTTACAATAAAACCAGTCTGCCTACGCGACCACTTTCCACCATGTGGTTGACGCAAACCAGTCTCTAGCTCTTGTCACCAGTTACTGGTCGGCTAGTCACTATCTAACTGCAGTATATATTTATTGAACGTGGCTTAATTTCTGTACCTATTCATTTATTGTTTTGTTGCATCAATATATCTACAGATTTGTATTTTAAAAACTTTTTATGTCTATGGTTTTCATAACTATTATAAAATTACATATACCTATAAATACTTGTATATCTTCGAATAGTTTCCAATTCTAGTTGTATACCGTAAAACAAATTGGTATTTATAATAAATTCATCGAGTTATTTTACGTTGATAATCTCGATAATCCATTACATTGTGGGCGCTGGACGAAGAGGTCCTAAGTTCAATTCCCGGTAAGAACAATATGAGAAATGATTTTTTCTGAATTGGGTCTGGTTACAATGTTTTGGGTAGTTCTGGGCAGACAGGTACCCCAGAGTCATTTCCACTCAGATACTCTTAATACAGAATTTCCAAGGAAAAATATATACACGTTCCTAGACAGAAGTTACAAGTTAGTATTAAAATAGTCGATCATGTATGTATCTTTCAAAATTCTGGAACAGACCATTAAGACCGTACATTCAAAAGACAGTCCATATAATTGGCCTAGTTCATGATAAACGTAATCAATAATTGAAATAAAAGCAGTATCCGGCCTTGGCGCAAGAGCGCGTTACGCAACGATGTCTCCCCTGGAGGCTGCGAACTGTAGCATGACGGAAAGAAATTCTAAATTCTGACAACAAGATGTAAATTATGACGAAAAAAAATCAGTAATACGTCTCAAAGTAAGATTAAAATGGAATAGAATGTCAAATGGAATATCTAATGAAATAGGTACATCCTTTGTCCATTTTTGCACGGAAACCGTAGTAAACAATTTGAATAGTGAAAGGTTTCTACTGTGATTTGTCTCAGAATCGATGTCAATATCGTGACATCACTATCAACTGACGTAAAATTATCTATAAAAAAGGGCACTATCTATATATCTGAAAAATACCCAGAAAAGAAGCAATTTAGAAAAATTCATATCCCAAATTGCTCCTACCGGGAATCGAACTTAGGACCTCCGTATCCAGTACCCACAGTGTAAACCGTTAGACTACCGAAGCCGTCGAAATAACCCATTTAGTAGAAAAAATTTGTAATGTAAAATTTTCTTTAACTAATTAATGATAATCGGAATGTATCAAAGTGAAATAATTTGCTGCTGCTGGACGCTGTTTATTTATTTTAATATCATTGAAACTCCAATCGAAATGCATTGTAATGTAGAAATGCGTGTAAAGAATCTTTGCGAAGCACAAATTTGCATAATCGGACGATGTTAGTAGTGTCGCGTAGACATAATTCAAATGCATTGGGGCGTTCTAATGACGTTATTCGGCAGCTTTCTTTCCCAAGGTCGTCACCGCTGACTCGCTCCACTTTTCGCTGACTACTTTCTGTTTGCTACTTAAATCCAACACTTGTAAAACTTTGTATAATTCTCAGATTTAAACAGCATTTACGTTTTAACAACAATTAACCTGACACATAATGATAGTGTATGATTTATACTGAATGATGTGAATAGTGTACGACTAGTTAGAGGACGGTAGCATTACTGTATGATAATAAAATTGTAAACACTCGTATAAAAACAGTTATGTCTTTAAATTGTATTTAAACGTTAACAGGGTTTAACTCTAGATGAAGTTTCCGCACGAACAAAAGACTTCAACGCGCGCCGCACCAATATAGCAAAAGATGAAGCACACCTCTACGCATTGTTATAACTTTTAAGACATTATTTGTGTCGTATTCATATATGACTGGCAGCAGATACTAGACAGAGTATAGCGAGCGGTCTTCATGTAGGTAATATCTCACAATGGAGCAAGTCGCCTTTCTCCACATCTGCGAGTGTTGTTAACATGACCGAGTAAGGAACCGAATTGTTTGAGTTTTATGTCGTACATAGATTATGCTTATATTGAATTATTTACCACCATGAGCTGCGCTCGGTGAGTTTTGCTAAATCTTCTGTGCTAATTCATAATATTACATAAAGCAGACCTGAGAGGAATCGGCTGGAAAGGGAAGCGTGGTGGCTGCAACTGCGGCGCGATGAGGGTGGCTGGTGGAGGCGGATGTACCGCCACGGGTACTGGTACAACGTGGGGTGGTGGTGGCAGCGTGCTGTAGGGCGGCGGCGGCACGCTTTCCAGCAGTTCGGGAGGCGCCCGCGGCGCACGAGTCCGGCGCGTGCGCCGCCGCCGCGGCTCATCCGTTTGACATTCGGCAGTGGCTACACTTCGCTCCCTCTCGGTCTGCACGGCACTGTTCACGTTAAAACTGGTCGGCGCATCCTGCACCTGCACTATGTTCACACTAGACACGTTCTGACGGCTCGGCTCTCCAGGCACGCGCACTGAGACCGAGTCCGACTTCCGAAGCGGGGCGGGCGCCGGCACGGGCAGCCGCATCTCGTGGCGGGGAGTGTAAGCGCGGTACGACGCGCGCGCATGACGACCGCCGCTGGGCGACTGGCACGCGGCGGCCGCAGCCCCCCCGCGGAATAGCGCTCCATCGGTGTGGGAGTGCGTGAGGGGCGGCGAGCGGCACTCGTACGGCTGCCAGAGCAGCGAGGAGAGCGCTTCGGCGGCGGACAGCGGCGGCGCAAACAGCGCGCCCGCGCTGCTCATCTCGGCGCCCGCGCCGCCACCGAAGGCACCGCGCGCCCGCCGCCGCTCTCGCTACCGCCTGCAACAAGCACCAGCCCACATCAGCTGATCGCAGAACAAATAATATTAACATGTTAGGCAATCATGTGTTAGGATAAACTCAGATAACTCTAGCCATAAAATATTGAATATCTGTATTAAATTTTATTATAATTACTTTTAATCACAAAGGTGTAATGTCTAGAAGTTACCTAGTCTTTTAAGAGGATAAAAACAACGTTAAGAAGAAAGTGATTTTTGTTTACCTTACAACGGAACTTAATAAACAGAACTTAGCATAAATATAGGCACAAAAACATACACCAGAGTGTAAACATTCACACGTGGCAAGTGTGTGCCTGGATCGTGAGAGTAACTAGTTATTATGATTGCGAGTCCGTGGGGAAAAGCTAAAGTTTCTATAACGGAAAAAAAACGTATTACACCTATATTCCTGCAAATTTAAAGATATTCTATACTAAACGAACTACGTTCTTTTATATACCGTGATTAAAAGTAGTTTTGGGTCTGTTTGGGTTTCATATTTTAGTGAGTGGAAGACACGACGTAACAAAGTATATTAGAGAGTAATGCACCTATATTATAATAAGTTACACCAACATGTAATAGACCTTTTCCAGCTTCTTTCGAGTCTCTCGGTGCTTTCTTTTCATTGCGCAATTCGAGATCGCTTACAGCGCTCGAACAGTTCCGAGTACAGTCACCACCTAAAGAGCAATCTGAAATGAAACTCCTTTATAGTCGGAGACCTTGTTTTATGTTCGTAAAAACGTAAAATTTTATATACCTCGTCACATGAAAAATTACCTCTAATTAGAGGCAGGTGGATTCTTTATTATGGCCATAATAAAAATATCGCTACAACGCTTGAGCAAAATCCTCAGAAGCATCGTTCAAACTATGACATAACATTGCCTGTTAAACTTCTTGATGGAACTTTGGAATAAATTCCCTTGTCGATTCTCGTAATTAGAGGAATAGCGTCTTTGTTTTTTGAAAAGAGTTGGAGTTATCAGACACACGTCGATTTCTGATCTGTTTATGTACGTGATTTTTTTTATGATGCCAAGTGACGAATAAGTCGTGCACCTAGTTGTAAGCGACACGCCTATCCATAACAGTTGCAGTACCGCTCAGAGAGCATCTGAGCGGCACTGCTAGCAACGTTACTAAAATTGCGTGTTCAGATTCTTGATGGATACTTTGGAATAAATTCCTTTATTTTGTTAACTCTTTCTAGATAAAAGTTAAACTTTTATGGACAACTGTCCAATCTTTTCTTGGCTTTACACATAATTGTCGGAGATCTGCTCACACACACACTGTTCAGTCACAGTTTTACCTTTTGTCGTTTTGATCACAGAGCGCAATGGTTACATTGTGTAATTTACTTCAAAAGAAGGAAGTTTGGTATTGTAGATTTGTATGGGAGGTGCGGTGGTAACCTAGTGACAGACAATTGTTTCTCAATTATAGGTCGACGGTTCGACTCTCTGTGGCGACACGTGCCTATAACATTAATTTTTAAATAACATGCATTTGTGAAGTGTAGGCAAGATTTGTTATTCTATGGTTCTCAGGAAAACATAAATTTGATATTTGTTTTGACATATTCTTTAAAGAACTTCATTAATTTAGTAAATTATGACACAATGAGGGCAGTATACAATAAAATATTCCTGTCTCATGATGTGTGCGTTGACTACATTGTATTAATATGACCCCAGAGTATATATACGTCAACGTATGATTGAGAAGGGTATTTCGTTGGCATATTATTTTTGTAAAACTAATTTCAGAAAATCATGGGTTTTATGGTTATCCATAGGTCAGTCTTCGGGCTCCTTGGTGGATAAAGTTAAAGTAAGTTTCTTCCATTATTTGTAATTAAAATAATCGTACTCTATAAGTCTTGAACGTGAAAATCTTTAAATCAGTTCAATCGTTATATCGCCATCACACTAACATTTATTAAGTTTAATGTTCCACTAAGTGTCATTTTGTCTCAAGTTTTGCTTTGACAAAGTAAAGGACATAATTACAGTAAGTTTCTTCAGCAACTCTCGTTGTTGATCTAATGGCTAAATTATGATAAAATGTAGTCGCAGTAAATCCCCATTTAATATTCCGCCTTGATTACTATGATCGATACTGCCATCTGCAAAATTATATTACGAAACTAGTTTCCAGACGGAAAAGTTCTAGATTGCAGGTGTTTTCTGCTTTCGAAGATAATTGACTGCAACATTTCCTTCTCTCGCTTAAAATCAAGGAAATATTATTACAACTGATTACTTAAGCAATTAAGCCGGTACCCTGTTCCGTAAAATACATAATAAATGCGGTATCTATTTAGTTTCTTTAATCCTTTCAGCCTTCTGAAAGAATAGAGATTTATAGAGTAAAGTTAACAATATACTATAAAGCTCTTATGCAAGAATGCTTAAGCTCCAGATGGGAAAGGAACTTTATGAAATTTTAATATCAATGGTAGAAAAGTTAATACTTCAGTCGATAAAACGTCATGTCTCAGAAGTTTGACTGTATCAACTGATATCATATTTTCCACGTTATTATTAGATTCTTTATATTGCTTTTATTAATGTATACTCATTTGGAATCACTTATTATATTTTATATTATACATTGATGAAGGAATATAATAATTTGTGTCTATATTATTTTTTTTATTTGAGTTTCGAATTAAGAAGATTAAGAACCAGGACATAGGAGATCGTATAATGTATTTAAGATGGAACTGGGCAGGACATATTGCGAGACGTGGCAAAGACAGATGGGGTAAAGCGACAACGAAATGGTGGCCAAGAAATGGTTATAGAAACGTGTGACGACCTGTAGCGAGATGGGTGGACGACATCGTCAAAGTTGCGGACCGTAAATGGGCGAGACTAGCACAAAGTCGTGATGGATGGCACAAACTACGGGAGGCCTACACCCAGCAGTGGATGAAGTCGGTCTCTGGATTATGATTTTTTTTATGATGAATTATGGATTATGATAATGTTAAAATATAAATATGAGTACATGAATTCACTGTGAGCCACAAGTAGGTAAAACAAACCTTAAAAACTATAACTAAAAGTAAAACTACAAAATTAAAAATTATTCTTTACATTATTTACTTAACGTCACAGTTAACGTAACTTGATGTATTGTATGTTGTACCTATTATACCTGAGACTGGGTGTATATGTAGATCCTTGTCCCATATTTTGATTTCTAGTGTATATTTATATGTTATTCATCGTTAGGATAAGTGGGTTACCTGAGAATTTGTGAACAAAACGTTATTGCAGCGGTCGTGTTTTTATGCCGCTGTTAGAACATTTAAAGATTAGTGGTTGGGGCAGCAGCAGATTGTAGAGAAACCTCTCGAGATACTTTCTCCAAGGCCGTGTTGGCGCCGATCTCCCTCCACTATGTCAGTCATTGCGCACATACCACAGACCATAAATCGAATGGAGTGTTAATCTCGAAATACAAATTATTTGCGTAATCCATGCAAAATCCTCACCTACAACTTTGGGTCTACTACGACTTTGAGTCTACGATTTACTACAATTTTTTTATGATTGCCCATGTTTTACAATCGGCTAAATTTGAAAACCTCGTAACTCCGTTTCTGATCGAAATCTTTTTTTTTACTCCTCAAGCGTAATATCGAGCAATTAAAGCTTAAAATAATAATTTGTAAACCTATTTTTAGTTATGAAATAAAGGTATAACCGCAGATCGTTATATAATTAAATGTCGTTATAAAAAAAACGGCCCTATACAAAAATAGCGTTGTTGATATGGCACCCAAAATATTTAATAAAATTCCAGACGCAATAAAAAATCTTAGCGGAATGCAATTCAAGCATGTATTAAAACAATTATTAATTGACAAGTGTTACTATAGCATAGAAGAATATTTTAATGACAGTTTCTTAGAATAGGTAAATGCTGACAGTTGGGTACCATTTAGTTATTAATATTTTTAGACTTTTTAATTATTATTAGTTTTTTGACATTGTATCCATTTTTCTTTTATTATTATTTTGACATTACATTTTTATTTAATTGACTTCGTATGCCACTTTGGTTTATTGCAGAGATTCCATAAAATTATTATTACCATCTATATCATGCACCTGTAATAACGAATGAATAAATGAATTGAATTGAATTGAATTGAATTATTTCTGGCAATTCTGTTTCTTGTGCCTACTCCAAAGTTCACACTAATGAAAGTTATGAGGTTTTCGAATTTAGCCAAGGACATGCATCTTTCCAGTTATTGGTGTTAAGGTGCCTGTAACTATCTCTTTACAAACTATAGATGAGCAATGAGCTTCAAAAAAGTATCCACTTATTTCCGATCTTATGTAAGGTAACCGATGTCATCACTTCTACCTCCACTACGAATTCAGTGCATTTAAATTGTTAATAAAAAGATTGTACGATTATAATCCGATCACTGATGTTTGTTTTGAGTTATATCTGTATAGAACAAGTAATGCCCGCATACACTAGAATATTTTTATACATCCATCAGGCCTCTCTTCCGTTCTGCATATAGACAAACACGCGGATACTCGTTTACTATTATATCATGTAGGTATATGAGAACGGTTATGGTATCGTTTAATAGTCAAGGCTTTCGTTTTTGAGTTGACATTTTAATGAATGGTATTGTATTTGTCACTTGGTTGAAGAGAGCACGAACTTTGGATAATTATATGAACACGCTATAGAAATCTTTTGCTATTGTGTAGTTACATAAATGTATTTGTAAGTAGTTCATAGCGAGCCTTAAAAAAATATTGTTTGCTTTGTTATTTCAAAATACAAGCACGTTGAAGCGACATTTAATATGAAATTTATCATGAACTTTTCCGTGAGGAAAACACCCTGGTGAAACCTGTATAGAACCTGTGGCCTAAACCCTTGCCTGAGAG